AATTCCCCCCCCCCCCGGTCCACCGGTCTCTCTTCTTTCCGCCACTCCGTACATAAAATGCCCCCCTTTTTTGCCCCCTTCGATGGCCACCACCTGGTCCCGCAGCAAGGCTAATAGTAGAATCGTGCTTCTTACCGGCTCCTTTCTCCAGCAGTCTCTGTACTTTCTGAATTGTTACACGCAACAAGAAGAATCACGCCAATGTCCTCTCATATGCGCAAATATGCCCAAACAGAGGTGTTGCCTGTGAGGACTAGTGAATGATTGCAAAGTAGCAGAATGTGTATTCGTGGATTCCACGAGGGATAGGCAACAGAGATTTGAGTAACTCTTTTGGTATAATTGTATACTGACTTGTCTTTTGTTGACCGTTAGTGACTGATTTTAAGAATTAACTTCGGAGAACAGATGGGGATCAGTTGCCTGAAACTGGGTTGTGGTTTATTTTTTCCGCTATCAGAAAAGCATCTTAAAACAGGCTACAACTGGAAGTTAAACTGAAAGAATTTTTGTAATTTAAAAAATATTCTGGATTCAGAAATTTGTCATCACTGTCTTCGACAAATTCCATCCAACCTATCGCGTTAAACTGTCTAGAACTGTCCGCATTGTAACCATCTTAAAAAATATGATCGCGCCATCATGGTCTTTAGGTGTGTAGCCAGTCTGAAGATTAGACCGAACACAGACAACAGTCTTATCAGTTTTTTTGTGATATCGAAAGATGGGGCCAAATTTCATTACTGTGAAGAAAGAACATCAGTCACTTGTGACAGAAAACACGGCTGTTATGAAAATATTTGGACCTTATAGTGACGAAACAAGTGAGGACTAGATTATGTTAAATAAAAAGTAATCTCGTGATTAATAAAGTCACCTAGCATTGTCCTGGTGGTAAAATAACTGGATGGGCTGAACATGTAGGTGCCACAGGAGGAAACAAAAAGTACGTTCAAAATTTTGACGGCGAAACGTCTTTCAAAGTGGATTTTTGAAATATAAAAGGAACTGTAAAGAATTACTTAAGGGTGTCTTGGAGATCAATTACGTAGTAAAATTTATTTTACTAAGAAACTAATATATAAAATGGCAAGCATTGATACTAGGGATGTTAAACCTATTCTATTTGAAAATAAACTGTAGCAGTACAACATAATATCTTGTTTCATATTTCATAAGTACCAGTGCACCAGAAAGGATTTCCGTAGTGTGTTAATTGGTGATACAGATATTTAAGAATTACCAAGAATTATTGATACAGGTTTATTGAGAATAGTTTAAAGTGTTGTCTTAGCAAACAGTCTTAACAGCATCGAAAATAATTCTCATCATACGAATGTTAAAGAAATGGACGGAAACATTTTATTCTTTTCGTGTTAGAAGCTTGTTAATGGGACTCAGGAAGTCGTGAAAACACGCTCATTTGAATAACATACAATTTTAATCTGCGTTTAAGAGGAAAAGAAGGAAGTCGCGAACGAAGAATAAGGCGTGAAATTAGAAAGCCACTACTGTGTGATGGCTCAACAAGTACAGAAGGCCAACTAATTGACTCTAGATGTAATCGCAGGAGTTGAAAGACATTTAGCTTCGTTATATTTGGACAGGTATAAACTTGTGTTAGTCAGGTAGGAGGCGCTGATGCAAGAACGAATTATGACGATATTCATTTGAAGTTCTCAGTTGTAAAGAGCATCTTTTCAAACAGGCTACTGACTCCCAGTTATAAAACTTCGTGTGAAACATTTTTATTTATTTTGCTTCTTTTATCGCTGCCAACAAGTTGTCAGCGGTTAGACATGAAGCTTCTTTGTGTGGTATAAAATTAAATTGAAGAGGGCAGTTCCTTAGTAAAAACGATTATTATTAAGCAGTTACTTGTAGGCGATCTGAATGTATTATGGGTAAATTGATATTTCAAGTTGAATTAATTACGTTTATAAACCTATATTGATCTTATTAAACTTCGAAGTACATCAATGAAATAATTTTTTTCCTTCTTAACCGACAGTTTGAAGAGAAGCGTCTCGTTTCAGATGTATGAGTTTATAAACAGTAAAATGTATTATATTCTATTTATTTATGCCATGACATAGTGTAATTAGTTTTGTTGCACGCATTTGAAGAGAATACTTTCATCTAAACACGTAAAATTATCATTGTGATTAAGGACTGCGGTGAAGAGCACACATGTAGATCTACGTTTCATAATTTTCTCCAGTTCCCTGTTATTTCATTCATCTTGGGTTCAGTGATCCTAATCACCCTGTTCTTAATTACCTTTGATCTGCGTTCTTCTATTAAAATAAAATATAAATTTTCACCCCTATACAAAATAACAAGCATTTTTAGTTAACAGATGGGAAGATTACGAATTCCACAGTAGAAAGAATTTTCGGATTCAATTTTCTCTCAATTTCTTCGTGAATGTAATTTGGATTTGTTACCGTCCCCCAGTATTGTCAGGGTGATTAAGTCGAGAAGAATGAGATGGGCGGGGCATGTAGCGCGCACGGATGGGACAAGAGATGTGCACCGATTATTGGTGGGGAAACCTGAAGGGAAGTCACCGCTGGGGAGACCTAGACGTAGATGGGAGGATAATCTCAGGCGGGATCTATGAGAGATAGAAGTTGAAGGAAACTGGATTTTGTTGGCCCAGGACAGGGTCCGGTGGAGGGCTTTGGTTAATTCGGTGATGAACCTTCGGGTTCGGTAAGCCATCTACTTAGTTAGTTACCGTCGTCACAAAAAAATTTCCCCACATTTCCCAATAACTTATTATCTACCTTTATACAACGATTAGCAACGAATAAGCTTCATACATTCTAGTTTAATAACACGTATTAACTATGCGGCATGGAAAACTTTGTCCTGTAATCTTGCAGACGTCTTGTCGATATCAGCTCGATTTATAACACCCGGCCCCCAATTTCCATCGCGTTTAAGTGAATGCTGTAGCCTTCGACCGGGAGTCATGCGGAGTGGTATCGCATCTTCTTAACGTCAAACCGATTCATGTATTTTTCTCGTTTAGTTTATTAACTTGAATGTAAAATAGGCAGGTCATAGCAGCATTGGCTTGACAAAAGTGCTATAAACCACCAATTACTTTTGACACCTGCGGGAAACTTCATTCCAGTCAGACAGCTCCAGAATTTAATGAACCCAGCTCTGGTGACCATTTCACTAAGGAGCGCAGCGAAACTGTCAGCCCTATACTGGGAAGTTAGTAGTGGTTTAACTGGTAAAGAAATTCTCCATTTTAAACCTTTTTCAAAGAACACATATTATTTTACTCTATCCTCAACGAGATAAATACTGGGCATTTCTTTAAGCCCTATTCCTCTAAGATACGGTTCATTAATATTATCACAACACCTACTGTTACATGTAGAAAATGTGCTTTCATTGAGGTTCTTAAATAACATTTTGCGTGAATTTCGTGTTTTTCTTCTATGTGTACTATATATCTCAGTTGTTTTATCATGTTTTATTTCCTTCTTTTCATAATATTAGGTAAAGACTATAAAATTTGAAGTTTCTCTTGAAAGGGTCTATAATTTTATAATTTACTCTGTTACTTTTCTAAGTCAGATATTACCTCAATGCTCTGTTCTCACACAGTTTCAATCTGTATTCTTCCCTCCGAGCAAGAGAACAAGTCTAAAAAAATGTAATATGGAAAGTAAAATTACAATTTTATATAGTTTAATATTTAGGTGTTCAGAAAAAAATACTGTAAGGTAAATTATTGTCGTCAAAGAACATTGTTTAGCGGTAGCACGCTAGGCTTGTACTGAGGAGATATTCGTTTTGAATCTCGGCTGGGTTACTGTCTATCCTGACTTATAGTCTATTAAGGATGTGTATGGAGCAGACGCAAATAGCACTGTCCAGGGAGCGATATCACAGTAGTTTTCTACAGAGCGGGAACCGAGGGAGTACACTTGAACGCAGTTCATGGCATATTCCT